GTATTACATGCACCGTTAAAAATATTTCAGCTTGTACACGGAAGTTTTTTGTGAATCCTCCTAATAACTCTCACAGAAAATGAATGTCACAGCGTAAACTAAACAAAATTTACCCTCGGCACAAGGTTGTGCGTCCCTAGTACGTGGCGAAGGCTGGCAAGTCGCAACTCAACACTTGACTGCAAATTCTTTCCGTGGGCAGCACGCTAGAGGGTTTATTAGCTTATGAATTAAATGATAGAAGTAATATAAGCCTTGAACCCACAGCCACTGATTAACCTCTCCCACTTCATAAGATTAAAGTCCATCATTATTGAATTGCTGCCGGAGCGTCTCTGAACTTTTTGTCAGATACCTTGATGAGAACGCAGTTGTTGTGTGGACACTTGATGTATAGTTTGATGCCGACCACTTAGACCTCCATCCGTTTCATTGATGCCGGCCACTTAGACTTTCATCCGCTGCATTGATGCCGGCCACTTAGACCTTTATCCACTTCATTGATGCCGGCCACTTAGACCTTCATCCGCTGCATTGATGCAGGCCACTTAGACCTTCATCCACTTCACTGATGCCGGCCACTTAGGCCACGACGCTTCCCAAGCTCAGAGCCTCAGAAGGAATGTATATATTAATATAAACTATACATAATGGCTAATAAAAAGAATATTTGCAGAATTGTTGCTAGAAATGTTGTCAAATGTTCGATCTGGAGTGATTTTGCTTACCAATTTGGCAGGAATTGTGATCTTGAAGCTTCGATCATATGCATGAGTGAGTTTCTTATCAACATCACCAAAGTCAAACCAAACTTGTACTATGTAAATTTTTTTTAAGAAAAGGCTTCCCACACTCACCATTCCAACGAAAAGGAATTAATTTTATTAATTAAAAACAGGGAATGGTTTCATGTCAATGATCAGGGCCCCGACCTTAACGCCTCTGATGGTGGCCTACACCGACTCCGAGGGTCACTGAGCTGTGACGCGAGCGAGGAGCGGGCCCACGTCGAACTTTTCTCTGACTGCTGTTAGGATGCTAGCTGCATTGCCTCTCTGCACGGCCAAACCCAACCTTTGCTCCAACCATAGAGTCTCTCTACGTTCGCCGGACAATTCCGTAATACGACGGCCCATCTGTGATATTAAAGGACCAATCGTTCACCATATGTAGCCGTCGTTTCTAATGCGACTGGCTAGAAACGATACCGAGCTGCCAACGCCGCGTATTTACGTCTCTTGCTATCCTCCGCCGCACGAGCCGCGAACCCAGCAGAAATAGCCGAATTATTGACGTGCGACTCAGCAAAAGTGTCGACGCAGGTTGCATCCCAGCACAAACACCTCCCATTAGAAAATGAGAAAACCGTTAAGCCATCTGGTCTCCTATACCATCCCTCTGTCCACTCCAACGGGTTCATGGCATGAAGGAACGCCAGCGCCATGAACCTGAAGAGCCCTCCTGATCACATCGTTCAGAGCCGAGTGTCTTGGATGTCGCCCAGCGCTATACTTACAAGAAAGGCCATGCAGTCCTCGTGCATCCATTCGCTTTCCGCACCGACAAGTGTGGGGTTCGCATACATTTGCGCCAACTCGAAGTGCAATTGAGACGCGGAAGGAGTCGGGATCTAGAAGTGTTCCAAGAACATTCGAAGGAATAGCGTGAAGCCACAAGCCACTCTCTCTCTTCGCCGCTGCAACTAGACGAGCCCTGGATATTTGGTCCGCCGCTTCCAAAAGCCGCGCTGCGGAGGCCGCGGCCACAGGCCCATCGCAAGTCCTCTGCCGGCACAAACTCGCGTCCTCGGGCAAAGCAATACCTGCATGCGTTCCCATTGCGCCACTCATCCACCGCCATCTGCAAACTGTCGTCCTCGGCCAGTCGTACATTATATAAAACAGCATCAACTAGGCCACGGACGGAGTGGAGTGACGATATGAACGCAGGGAGCGCGATGTCCTTTGACATACGGATACCCAGACCTCCCAGCCGGACCGGTAACACAGCTTGTTCAAGAGATTCGCGCTCGGAGCTGACATTGGTGATGGTCGAGAGGGCAGAAACCAACACCTCATCGAACCGCTCCAAATCACCTACCCCCGTATATGCAGGAGACGCACGTAGGACGTATTGGAGTTTAGGTAGAGCGAAACAATTCTTTAAAAGCGTAAATGCTTGATGACTATCAATTAATTTTAAACGCTCCACCATCCTCTCCAAGCCCTCCCGCTTCTCCCGGATAACGGCGGAGACGCCCTCCTCGATCGTGGAGTGGGGCACCCAGTAAAAGTGACTTATGGGCGGGAACAACTTTTAGTGTTGGCAACACCCCCCGAAACATCTCCTCAGTTTCGAGCTCTTCCTCTCTCGAATGGTTCAGTATGATCAGTTCACACTTCCCCTGGTTTACCTCCAGCCCTACGGCTCTAAAGTCCTCAACGAGTTTTTGTACTGCCTGGAGAACTGTCTCTGGTTTATCGCCCAAAGATCCATCATCCAAATACCAAACGTTAAACTCAGTGTTCACCCGGCGTATCACCTCGTCAATTCCTAAAGCAACCCAAAACTTCACTCAACACCAGATTGTACGAGACGTTCATCAATGAAGGCAGGATTAGTGGACTCGAAACAAAGTAGGTGAGGACGCAATGGCTACGGTCAACAATGCCTAGACATGGGTTGCTCACGGGAGGATTGCTTCGTAACGACTGGCCTAAGGCTCGGTCCATCTCTCCTGTCGAAGATTTCCAACCGGTGAATTCCGTCAATGAATTCACAACATTACAGTTGGCGACATTTTACTCGGAAATAATTTTTTTCAGATTTCTAATAAAGCCGCAGAGGTTTCAGGGGGCGAGTGTCCTATACTATATAAGTCATGTGATGTATGAATTTTATGTCAAATTGCGCAAATTTCATAGTTTCTTTCATTTCTCATGTCACATTGTCAATCTAAAAAATATTCACACGCTATTTTTGTCACTGGATTAAGTTATTTCGGTCATTCAGGTATAAATGAATCAGCAAGAAAAAGTTATTTGATAGGGTAAATTAAATAATTGTAGAATCAGTTTGAAACTATACTGAAATCAATTGTTCCAAATTCCGTCGATTTCATCTAGATAATTTCTGTATTTGAAGTCAAAAAATAATAAATTGCGTTATTTTATTATTTTACCCTCGAAAAGTTTATAGAATTCGCGTTTTTCGAGTTTGCGCTCAGGAGAAGCTGTTGGACATAAGTGCCCGGCAGTAATTAGCCGCACCAATGTTGTAATTTTACACGAGGCCATGTCGGTTGTAAATTTCTTAATTAGTTGATATTCCATTTGCCGCAGGTCACAATGTTATCCAGAGTAGCACTTACGTCCTCAATTACTGGGCACTTCAAAAAGTTAGACCTAAACTCAAGGCTTTCGATGCGGCCGAGTAGTCAAAGATTCATTGATTGATTCCATTTATTGGCACACGCTTCACTTCAAATAAAGTTTATTCCATTATTTCACGCAGAAAAACTTTGAAAGCCCAAATTTTATCGTATTTTCAAGGCTTGTATGCAGTTTTCAAGCGACTGCTAAAACTTTGCAATTAAAGCGAATAATGATCAAAATTACGAATTTAATTCATGAAATTTTAATATCTACTTTATGCTGAATCGAAGCAGCTTCATCGAAGATCCATCTGGGCTACATCCTCGCACTTATTTCCATACTTACTATCGCTTACTTATAATCCCCCTTCCTATAATAATATATATTTATCGTCCCCTAGGAGGGGCATTTCAAAAAGTTACCTACTTTTAATCAAATTTTTAATTCAATGAAATTTTCTGAACTTATTGTCGTCCGTAATATTATTACTACACACTTTTCCTAAAATTATTGGTAAATCATTGTTTGACATAGGATCATCTCAAAACTCAAATTTAAATAAGTTGTTGAAAATTGAATTAAAATTACAATACAAATAATTTGCATATTTCGGATAAAAATCAAAATGTCGTTTAAATGGATTTAATAATTTTATATCAATTTGGGGGTAACTCATTGAAAAACTCGCATGCCACAACAGCAGACTTTACTATTGAATAGAGCATTGAAATCTTCTCAAAATCACAGAAATTTCAATGCCACTCCTATTAAATACATATCATACGTGACAGGTTGGATATATTCTATTGGTTCAGTGAAATTTATCTAAAAATGTTATGGTGTTATAAATGTTACAACACCTGTGAGGTGTTATCGTGGCGTCTGGTTCAAACGAACTTCGAGGGCACTTTACATGGGAGTTTAATGACATGCGAAAAATAAATGAATAATCATACCAGTGGAATAATAACAATAGAATAACTAATAACGATGGGTTATTAATAATAATCTTATAAACTGCAATATAATCTTTGTTCACTTTTCTTTTGAAACGAAAACCTAAAAACATTATGTTTGGTCAAAGTAAGCTCGGTTAGGATTGGTGAGGTTAGGTTAATTGTTATCAAATTAAGGTTAAGTAACTATTTCCTGCTTAATCTATTCTAACTTATCATGAACTAACCTAATATTTTAAAAGTTTCGTTTAAATGAGGAAACCAAGCAACTGGCAATTCTGGTCAACTGCATGATATATAAAAATGTTTCTGTTAACGTTTCAAAAACTCTTGTGCCATCAATATAATGGGACTGAAATTATCTCTCTGTTTGTGAGGTGCAGTATAATGTAACCCAGAGTTGCTGCCCAGCGACTCCCCTGATGAAATGAAGAGATTATCTGAACAACTCGTCATACTCTAAAAATTTGAAAAATAAATTGAGAAGCTATTAATTAGAATGCAAGAAGCCTGCCATTACAGGTTGATGACTGCGTGGGTTGCCCTCAACCTTCCCGCCACCTCCAGATTGTTGATTAATATTTATGAATATAAAATTACTCACTTTAGGAAATTCCTTTCATTGACATAACAGCTGCGCTGAACTCTTGGCCGTGATTTGCAATACTTTGGTGCGAGTCTAATTTTGAGGCGTTGCGCGCGAGAAAGCCTGTACTTTGTAAATTGTGCGCCGCTGAAATACAATCTTTAAGGAAATTTAAAATGTGAAAAAATTGAACAGCGTATTCAGATGTACGTCTGCTATTAGAAACTCGTTAACAGAGTGACAACAGACCACGTGGTTTCTATACGATCGTGCTTAAACAGGCACAAGTCCCACAGAACTGCCCAGATTGCATACCTGACTATCTATCTCATGCCCTAACGCCAATTATAGGGCTCAAAGGTATATTTATTATCCGTCTTAGATCTACCTTTATAACTATGTTCAAAAGTTTCTCTCGATTCCTATCCATAACTACTGAACATTACGTGCTAAAGAGGCGTATCAGAGAATGATTGCATGCCTAACTAAACTATTCTTCCATAACGACCTTCAAACATCGCCACATTTTAATTATCTTGCGCGTTTACGCATGTTTGCACGAAAATTGTTGCTCATATACTACATTTCGTTCATTATTTCAGGCCGATATTATTTCGTATAAATTTATCGCTATCATAATGCAAATTTCCTTGGAACAACATATATGCGCGAGAACTTGATAATGTCTCATGAGGCTACTACGTTCTTAGCTACTAACTAATCATGAAGTTTGAACAAGTTTATAAGTTATCATTTTGGATGAACAATTATCATGTAACTCAAAACTTGCGACACTCTGATTATTTAATACATAATTCTTGAGACCTTTTTGTTAATCTAGCTGAACTTGTCTCTTAGATACGTAGATTTCCTTGAGTCAATAAACAATTCCTAAGCGATCAGTGATGAATTTTACGGCATATTTAAAGTCTCATGCATGGGAGTTCAGGTGCACTGGGAAATAAAATTTATTATCCGTATAGCTAACAACTAAATTATTATTTTTCTATCGTTAGTTACCTTCTTCTGTGACTATGCATGACGAATGCATAGTCGTTATTCTTGTTGCTTGTGTTTAAGTTGGTATTCACGTATAGACGCTGGAAATATTGTTGTTAGTTACCTTCTTCTGTGACTATCCATGACGAATGCATAGTCGTGATTCTTGCTGCTTGTGTTTTTGGTACGGGGGATCACGCGACTTCTGAACTGACGTGATGAGACAGACAGAACGCACACTGATTTAATCTCCCAATCAACCGCCCTAACGGCAGAATTTGGGACCAAAGTTTTCATCACAGATGGGAATCAGAAAGTTTTTTATGAATGATTAGCACCTGACCCATAGCTACTGAACACTACGTTGGAAGTCCGCGTGCCATAAAATGGTTACATAACTAACTAGCGTCTTCTTGCATCACGACGTTCACATATGACTGCATGTGACTTGCCTCTCAAAATTACGCAAATATGTACATTTGCTGCTCATATACTGCATGTAGTTTATTCCAAGAAAATATTGTATGTATATATATATTGTAGAAATTCGGAAAAAACATAATTATGCAGCAACTGAAAATTTGTTGATTAAACTTGCTGGTATTTATGGTGTTGAACATACAAATTACCATGAGCTTATCCAAGCATACGCGTAAAAATAGCAAAACACACCACGTAAAATGAATGCCCCAAACTCCCGTCAGGTGATAAACTCGAAGGCGACAATGAAACTGTTAAATCATTTGAACTTTCAATCGATTTAACTTCAATCGACAGTAAATCTACGTGATTCTCAGGATACTAACGCATTCAGGGAAATTAATACAACTAACTGATGAACATTAACGGTTAGATGAAGATGGCACGCGTTGCTAACTGGCGAAACGCGGCGCCTGTCCGACCTCCAAGTTGTACTCGATCACAGCAAGTTTTGGAGCCATCGGCTCACTGCGCTGAGGCAACTGCAGGGAAAATCTAGCACCGTTCTAATTAACACGAAAATATAAACGGAAAAATATTCGTGGTCCATAAGAATTTCATAAGACTTTTGAAAAATAAGTTGAGCTCATACTAGCTGAACAATTTCGAATGAATAGTAAAGTTCATTTCATCAGTTCAACTGCATGCAACAACACTGGCGCAAGTCTTGCACACGTATTAAAATATTTGAAGCTCCTCTCTACATGTGATACAGATTCTAGTACGTTAACTACAATGAATTATTCACTACATGTACTGTATCTTTCATGAACTCAAATGAATTATCCTGTATGCTGTATAATAATTCAACCTTACCCTGTTGAGCTATCGTCATTCAGGGGAGCTTCTACCGGCCGTAAAAGTTATCTTCTAAAATAAATGACCGATCGTCCTGAAACTTAGTTAATTTTTAGAAAAAGTTAAAATAAAACGTGAAATTAATTGGAAACGTCAAAAAGCGGGTCTTTTATAAATCTATCTCCTTCTCTAATTTTCGTGTTACTGCGTCGAGAGACAAATCATTCGATTTGTAAAGATAATATTTATTGATTCCGGAACCCCGTTTTCGATTTTTTTATTCAATTTTTTTACTATAGTAATTTTCCTATACTATTTACTATTCTATTTACTATTTTCTTCAATTATTGTCCCCCTCGCCCCT